GTTTGCTTTCAGTGGTCTCTGTTCCACCAGTAATCACTCTGCCTCCTTCCTTCCCGACACCTTCTCCTCTGAGCTCCAGACCTGCTTCCTCAACACCACCTCTCTGGGGGCATTTTTAGGCACCTCATGCTGCCACATCCCTTCTGCCTTGGACCGGGCCTGCTTCTCCTCCGGTACTGCTGGCCTCTCTGAAGGTTCCATCACCCCCAGAAATGTGGGCCTCATGCTTGTGCAGCCAGTCTCTTGCCCCCACAGCCCATCGGTGCCTCCCCATTCCTGGCCATCCAGTCCCTTGTCTGCTGACTTGCGCCTAGATGAGGCTGGCTTCTTCACTGCCCCGTCCCCACTTGCCACTGTGGCTCATTTTGCATGGGGCAGCGTTCCAACCCAGACTTCTGGTCACACAGCACCTTCGCAGTTAAAACCTGTACCTACCTTTCTTTCTTTCATTCTTTCTTGTCTTTTATTTATTTATTTAGAGAGAGGGAGGGAGAGAGAGGCGGGGGGAGGGGCAGAGGGAGAGAGAGGGAATCCGAGCCCGACGTGGGACTTGAGCTCACGACCCTGAGATCATGACCTGAGCTGAAATCAAGAGTTGGACGCTTAACCCGACTGAGCCACCCAGGCGCCCCTAAAACCTGTACCCTTAAAAAACTGCAAGCTAGAATTCTGGTCCAGGCTGGGGCATTGTCCTTTCTGGGCCCGGGGCGCACCCTCCCGCCTGCCAAGCACGTGACTGCCCTGCCCGAGCCACTGCACCCACTTGGGAACACGGAGGCCTTTCCTGGGCCCCTGGACCGAGCCATGCCCCTGTGACCTTTCCCACGAGCAGCCCAGCAGCAGCCCCTGTGCCTCCCGCAGGAGAAGATGCTCGACATCTACTGGCTGCTGCGCGTCTGCCTGCGGACTGTGGAGCATGGCGACCGCACGGGGTCTCTCTTTGCCTTCATGCCTGAGTTCTACTTGAGCGTGGCCATCAACAGTTACAGCGCCCTCAAGAATTACTTCGGTCCCGTGCACAGCATGGAGGAGCTCCCAGGTGACAAGGGGGCCTCTGGTGTGAGACCTGGCAGCCCCGTTCGGAGCCTCCTAGCCCAGCAGCACGCATCCGTGGAGGGAGCGGGCGCGGGCAGCTCCTGTTCTCGGCCCTGTAGTAGACAAGCATTTGCAAAAGCCCCACCTGCTGGAGAGCCCTGGTAGCCCCAGAGCCAACGGCTCCTCCCCGGTGCTAGGAAGGAAGGGGACAAAATGGAGCACCGGGGTGGGGGCCCCTCCGGCTTTCACTTCCTCCTTGGTGCTGCTGTGGTCTGGGAGCCAGCTGGCCTCACCTGGCGCCCTGGTACTGGCCTCAGGATGTGGCTTGTGTTTGCAGTTCACAGCAGGGGGTCATGCTCTGCTGGAGGCCATGTGTAGGAGCTTGGGCTTCTCGCAGACCATTTCACCCTGGGCTTGGTGGTTTGTGTCTGGATCGGGCCCCCCTGGCCTGTCCCCTGCCCCGCCCCAGGCCTAGGTGCAGGCTTTGTCCTCAGAGGCAGAGCTGTGGGTGCCCAAGGGGCTTTGACTGCTGAGCCATCAGGTGTGTGCTGAGATGGGCTTGAGCCCAGTCTTGCAGGACCATAGCCGCCCCCCCACCACAGTGAGTCTGTGCAATGGCCTGTCAGTCAGTGAATATCATGCCCGAAGCCCCTGGATGACAGCTCAGGCCCAGACTGGCTCTGGGAGTCCACTCTGGAGTCCTCTGCCCAAGCCGAGGGATGGGCCTGTCCCTGGAGCTGCTGCTCCCAGCCAAGCACTCCTCCTGCTCCATCCTGCAGGCTACGAAGAGACCCTGACCCGCCTGGCCGCCATCCTTGCCAAACACTTTGCTGACACACGCATCGTGGGCACTGGTGAGGAGCCCTTCAGAGGGCTTGGGGCGCGGGGATGGGATGGCACCTCTGGCCGGCTCTTGTCTGCTCAGAATGCCGTCCAGGTGGGCGTGAGGCATGGGGGCTGGGGTTCATGCCGGGTACCTGCTGAGGCACAGCCTGTCCCAACAGACATCCGTGACTCGCTGATGCAGGCCCTGGCCAGCTACGTGTGCTACCCACACTCCCTGCGGGCTGTGGAGCGGATCCCCGAGGAGCAGTGAGTGAGGGCCAGATCCGGGAGGCACGTGCTCTGCCCCACACGGTGCCCAGCCTCAGCCCTTGCCCACCACCCCTTGCCCTCGCAGGCGTGTCGCCATGGTGAGGAACCTCCTGGCTCCCTATGAGCAGCGGCCCTGGGCCCAGACCAACTGGATCCTGGTGCGGCTGTGGAGGGTAAGCCCGGCTGGAGGGGAGGTGGCTGCGGCGGGCTGGAGGGGAGGGCTGCCCTAACCCCAGCTGACCCCCCACGGACCCCCCTCGCAGGGCTGTGGGTTCGGGTACCGCTACACACGGCTGCCGCACCTGCTGAAAACCAAACCCGAGGATGCCAACTTGCCCAGTCTCCAGAGTGAGTGGCTGCTCTTGGGTCCTCTAGGATTCTTCTCCCTTCTCCCAGCCTCTGTCCTGCACTCCTGCTGGGCCTCAGCTCTGCCCCCGGGGGCTTCCATTTCCTGGCTTCCTCTCTGTCCAGGGACACTGGGCCTACTCCCCCTGGCTCCCCAGTCCCACGTGTGCCCTTTGGGCCCAAATGCTCTGCTGGGTCATAGGGAAAAAGGGCAGTACCTTCCCAGGCTGCCTGCAGCTGACACAGAGTGAGGACCCTGAATCAGCTCCCTGACCTCCAGCCTGGTCCCAGCACCATGTCTTTCTCCCCCTTCATTGCCATCTGCTGGTGCCAGACCTTGGGTACTTGAGTCAAGGCAGGGGCACAGACTAGGCAGTGCCCATGGGGCTTCCAAGAGGAAGAGGCATTTGGCTTCGCTCTGTCTTCAGGGGCCATGGTCCAGCAGAGCCCTCTGAACTCGAGGACCTTCACCTAGGTCGGGCCTGGGGTGGGCCAGCTTGTAGTCTGCCGGCCACACACCGTGCTCACCCCACAGGGTGGCTCTCCTTGGCCCGCGTGGTGTGTTTCTGCCCTCGTGGGCAGGATTTTTGCGTGAAGGGGTCCCCAGAGGCTGATTGCCTTGTGCAAAGTTACACATCAAGTCCTTGCCAATTGTTTTGGTCGTGCCTGCAGGTGAAACTGAGCTGAAGATGGAGAATGGCAGTGGGACCGGATACTTGTCCTGCTGCTGTAGGAACTATTGATTTGCATGGGGGGGGGCGGGTGTCCAGCCCAGCTGCGGCTTAAGGGCTCTGGTTACTGCTCCCTGTCAGCCCAGACTTGGCACCCACCACCTCGGCCATATGCCAAGGCCAGGCCAAGGGCAGCAGAGGAGAGGAGAGGACTGCAGGGCTCAGACAAGTAGGTCTTAGGGATGCTGACCTGGATACGAGTGAGAAGAGGTCTGGGTCACCCTGTCTGGGTCTAGCCCTCCCTGAAAGGCATGTGGCTGAGAACTTGCTGGGGACACGCTGGGGGGCAGCTCTAGGCTTAAGGGATGGTGTGGAGCTGGGAAGGACTTCAGCCTGTGGCTTGCCCAGCAGATGGAGGGACAGATTTAGCTCTAACCCCCAGACCGGGCTGTACCCTGTCCTCCCGCCTCTGTGACCTGAGCATTCTCAGGGAGCCATCTTTCTGTCCGTACACCAGTGGCCCAGTAAGTGAGGACAGAGGTAGACAGGATAGGCAGGAGCCCCAGAATGGAGTCCCCAGTGACGCCGCCTCCTCGCGCCCCTGCAGAGCCTTGCCCTTCCACCCTGCTTCAGCAGCACATGGCGGAGCTGCTGCGGGAGGGGCCCGACGTGGCGCCCAGCTTCCTCAACAGTGTCCTCAACCAGCTCAACTGGGCCTTCTCGGAGTTCATTGGCATGATCCAGGAGGTGCGTCACGGTGGGTCGGGTGGGCTGCAGCATTGCAGTGGGCCCGGTGCGATGTGCAGCGCCACCAGGCCACTGAGCGCTGCCTGCCCCCTGCTGGTGGCTCAGATCCAACAGGCTGCCGAGCGCCTAGAGCGGAACTTTGTGGACAGCCGGCAGCTCAAGGTGTGCGCCACCTGCTTTGACCTCTCAGTCAGCTTGCTGCGGGTCTTGGAGATGACCATCACGCTGGTGCCCGAGATATTCCTTGACTGGGCCCGGCCTACCTCCGAGATGCTGCTGCGGCGTCTCGCGCAGGTGTGTCCATCTGGGCAGGGATGGGGGTGCCCCCTGGGAAGGCCCCAGTGGCGAGCCCACCCTCAACACCCATCAATGGGCTCCTGCCCTCACAGCTGCTCAACCAGGTGCTGAACCGGGTGACGGCTGAGAGAAACCTGTTTGACCGCGTGGTCACCCTGCGGCTGCCTGGTGAGGACCCAGTGCCCCACACCCAACATATCCCGGGGCTTGCTTCCTCCGCTGGGAGCAGGGATGCCTGATTGTCCGTGCTGCATCGGGACAGCCAGCCTTGGCCCCCGCAGCCTTAGCTCGCCCTTCTGTGGGGAGGATGCTGGGGAGGGGGCCTGGCGCTAGCCAGGCAGGCCTAGACCCCCTGCAGTAGGAGCACGCAGCAGCTCTTGCCCTCCCTCCAACCCCCCCCCCCCCCCCGCCAGGCCTGGAAAGCGTGGACCACTACCCCATTCTGGTGGCTGTGACGGGCATCCTGGTGCGGCTCCTGGTGCATGGCCCGGCCTCGGGGTGAGTGTGAGGCCCTTGGGCCCACAGGAGCTGGCGTGGCTGGTGGGAGTGGGCCAGCCAGGGCCTCCTGCTGCTGTCTCTTCACCTCTGCAGTGAACCTCAGTATCAGGTTTTTGAGGCAGGGGGGAAGGCAGTGAGGTACAAACTGCCTAACTAGGTGGCAGCAGCAGTGGCTCTGAGTAGAAGAATCGGGGACTGCACTGGCTTGTGGTTATGCCTCAGGCAGGGCTGGGGTGCTATCCTGCACGTATGGGACAACACTGCTGGGATCAGGGGTTGAGGACACGCACCGCTACTTGTGTTCTCGAAGGGTCTGGTAATGAGCATGTACCACCTTTATTAAGGAACTCCATGACAGCTGGATCCAGGATGCTTGTAGGAGCCCCCAGCTCAGCACCCACACAGGAGGGTTCTCAGACCCTTCTTCCCTGCCTCCCTGCGGTGGGTGGTAAGATGCGTATAAGACCAGGGCACGGCCTCAACCATTAGGCCGAGACCAGTGCCAGCCCTTAAGAGGCTTCTACCCTCGAGGGACAGTGAGTTCCAGCTCAGCCCTCCCATCTTGGCCATGCTCAGCAGGCTTTTTACTGCTGAAAAGCTGGAGGACAGGCCCTGGTGGCCCTTACTGCTGTCTTGTGAGCCCATGGAAGAGGCCCTGCCCTCAGAGTGGCCTGTGGATGCTGCTGGCCAGAGATGGCAAAGCTGCTCTGCCTGGGGCTCGGGCCAGGACCCCCGAGGGGTGGCGGGGAGGGGTCTCTTGCCTTTCTGCCTGCCCACCAGACTGCATGGAGTTGTGAAGCTTGAAGGAGGTTAGATGTTGGTGCGGGTTTCCTCCTTCCACCCTGGGTGGGGGCCTAGGTCTTCCTTTGGCGCTCTCCTCCTCTTCCCCTGGGCGCCCACTCTCTTCCTGCCCCACTGGGAAGGGGAAGATGGTTATGCTTCAGTTCTTCGCCACTACTGCTTGATAGCTGCCTCGGCCCCTAAGGATGTGCCTCGGGCTCTAACGCAAGGGCTCTTCCAGATGGCCCCAGTTCCAGGCCTTGTGGGACATTTGGGCACCAGCAGGTCCTGCGGGGGTCTCCGGCCTTTGGGCCCTGTGTGAGAGCAGAGGAGGAGAGAGGGCGGAGAGCCCAGCCCTTCCATCAGCGAGTGGGGCTGCTGTAGTTGAGGTCGAGGCCACACAGGAGGCTGGAGGACCAAGCCCAGCGCCGCCACCAGCATCTGGCAGTTGTCCGGGCGGCAGCAGGGAGCGGGGCAAAGCAGCGGGTGGTCGATGGCCTGGCTCTGAGCCCAAGGCAGCCTAGGTCATCACCAGACCCTCGGAGCCCGTGGAGCTAGCCGACTCGGAGCCAGCATGGAGCCGCAGGCCCACGGGGTTGTAGAGATCAAAGTCCTCGGCGACCGCCAGCTGCACGCGCCCGTTGAGGCCCCTCCTGCCCGGCTCCAGAAAGACCACATGCTTGTGGACGCTGGCCTTGCGGCTGGGCACGTCAGGCACGCTCGGGTCCTGGAGGGGGCTGGGCGCGCGGGGCCAGCAGTGCCGCCGGCAGGTGCGGCGGTAGCATCGGCGGCAGCCCGGGCAGGGCGGCGCGAACAGGTAGAGCAGCACGAGCACCAGGCCTACGGCGCAGCCCAGCAGGGTGGTGAAGCCCGTGTTGAAAGCCTCGGGCTCCGGGCGCGGGGCGTGCACGCTCACGTTGTACTCGTGTGTCTGGTTGTGGTGCAGGCGGGGCCCGGCGGCCAGGCACACGAAGAGCCCCGCGTGCCGCGGCTGCACATTGCTGATGGCCAGGCTGCCGTCGGCCAGCACCGCAATGCTGCCGTCTCGGGACCCCGGGGCCACGAGCAGCTCCTGCTTTGGGGACACCCAGGCGATGCGCACAGCCGGGGCGCTGGTGTTGCAGCGCAGCCTCAGGGGCCGACCCATCTGCACGTGCAGCTGCTCTTCGGGCCGCTCCAGGCCCCCGGCCAGGGCGGCCGAGCAATTCTCGAAGACCCGGCTGTGCTCAAAGAAGCGCACGCGGGACGTGGGCACCTTGAAGGCCAGGCACATGTACTGTGGGGCGAAGTCACTGACGGCACTGAGGCCCCGCTGGAGCCAGCGCTGCAGCAGGTGGTAGAGACGGCAGTCACAGGCCAGGGGGTTGTTGTGCAAGTAAAGGCCGTTCTTGAGAAAGGCCGGCAGGGCAGCCAGGGCAGCCACGGGGATGCGGCCGAGGCGGTTGGAGGAGAGGTCCAGAGTACGGAGGTGGGTGGCGCCCAGGCCGTGGAGGTGGTCAAAGGAGAAGGAGGAGAGCTGGTTGCAGCCCAGGTAGAGCCGGCTGAGTGCGCCCAGGCCCCGGAAGGCGAGCTCGTCCAAGTGCGCCAGTCGGTTGTTGAACAGCAGCAGCCTCTCGAGCGCCCCCAGCCCTTCGAGGTCGTGGCGTCCCAGCGCCCGCAGCGCGTTAGACGATAGGTCGAGCAGCCGCAGGCCGCTAGCGTTGGTGAACACTCCGCGACCTAGCGCGTCCAGCTCATTGTGGCCGAGGCGCAGGGCGCGCAGCCGGGAGAGGGGCGTCAGCCAGCCGGGCCGCAGGCGCTGGAGCGCGTTGTGGCTCAGGTCGAGGTCTGTGGTGGCGGCGGGCAGCGCGGCCGGCACGTCCTGCAGCCCCAGGCCCGCGCAGCTCAGCAGGTCGGCGGCGCACACACATCTGTAGGGGCAGTTACGGGGCCCGGAGGGCAGGAAGCCCTCCGTGCCCAGGCTGCCCACCCCGACGCGCGACAGGCACAGCAGTGAGCCCAGCAGCACCAGCCAGACCATGGTGGCGCCTGCCGGGGGCTGGGACGGGGCAGCTCTGTGCGGGACACGCCGCGCCGGGACTCACCCGCTTCTGCTGGTTGTGGGCTCAGCCCCGCACGCCAACCGCCCCTGCTCCCCCGGCTCCAGGGCGGGATTTGGCGTCGGGCTGCACTCCGCAATCCCTCCTCTGGCTTCCCCAGCTCTCCGAGTGCTTCCCTGGTCAGCTTCTAAATACTCTCCCAGAGGAGGGCGGGGCCTCAGCCTCCCATTGGCTCCTGTTGGAGGGGGTGGGGCAGCCCCCTCTCCTCCCCGCGACCGAGGTCCCCCGTGTGGCCGCCAGAGGGGGCGCGAGCCCGCCCCCAATGCCCCGGCCTGTCCTGGGCCAGTGGCTTTGCCAGTGCCCAATCTCCCCGAGAACAGTAGGAGGGGAAACCTGGGAGGCACTCCTTTAAGCTGCTAGTCATGTTCTTTATTTTTTTTTGGAGAGTTAGTGTTTATTAGGGGTAGGCAGACTTTTCACTATCTGCTGGTCACCCCCTTAAACTGGCACCCAGACTGAGTTCTTACTGGGACCTAGGATGAGCAGCATGGGGTAGGAGCGGCGGGTGAAAACAAGAGGTGAGCTGGATTGTCCCAGCACCCCCGCCCCTCCAGCAGGTACTGCTTCCTGACTACACTTGCCCCCCTCTCTCACCTAGGACAGAGAGAGCCACGTCAGTGCTCCTTGCTGATCCCTGCTTCCAGCTCCGCTCTATATGTTATCTCCTGGGGCAGCCAGAGCCCCCTGCCCCTGGCACTGCCCTGCCTGCCCCTGACCGGAAGCGCTTCTCCCTGCAGAGCTGTGAGTGGACTGGGGGTGGGTCGGGTTTGGGGCTGGACTAGATCAGGAGTCTCAAGAAGAGCAAAACCCCAAGTTGTGGTACTTAAGAGGCACTGGGTTCAAGGGCCACATTGGGCCTGACACCTGCTACCACCCACAGACACAGATTACATCAGCATGGAGGAGCTGGCCCAGGTGGAACAGATGCTGGCACACCTGACCTCTGCATCTGCCCAGGCAGCTGCTGCCTCCCTGGTGAGTGGGAGCCGCAGCATCCAGGCGCACACCACCCACATACATATGCTGGCACAACTGTGCACACTACACAGGCACAGTCTTCGTCTCCTTGTCTGGGTGTCCAACCGCAGCTCACCCTGCACTCTGCTCCCTGCAGCCCACTAGCGAGGAGGACCTCTGCCCCATCTGCTATGCTCACCCCATTTCCGCTGTGTTCCAGCCCTGTGGCCATAAGTCCTGCAAGTAAGTGGGCCCCGTGGGCGCAGGGGGCTGGGGAAGCGGCAGGGATACACACGCCCTCCTCCTCCCTCCCCTCCCCTCCCCTCCCCTGTTGTAGAGCCTGTATCAACCAGCACCTGATGAACAACAAGGATTGCTTCTTCTGCAAAGCCACCATCGTGTCTGTAGAGGACTGGGAGAAGGCGGCCAATGCAAGTACCACCACTTCCTCGGCCGCCTAGCCCACACGGCAGCAGCCTCCACCCCTGAACTCAGACCCAGGCTGGGCCCTATTTATGAGCTTCCCCTTGCCCTGTTCCCCATGACTCCCCTCCCCACCCCCCACCACATCCAACCTCCTTGCCTGAGTGTAACCTCACTGGCAGGAGCCCAGCCATGTCCTGATTGTGCCTGAGCTTGACTTTCAGTCAGGGCCACAGTGAGCATTAAATTATTATTCCATACAGCCCTGGCCCGGCCCTTCTTGAGGGAGTGGGCTTTGTGGGGTATGCCCAGCAAGGATCCTGCCAGATTATGTCCACAGGAGAGGGCAGGTGTCCAACCGCTTCAGCCTCGTCTAGTCCTCCCAGATAAACGGCGAGTCCAGGGCCTTCTGATGTGTCACCAAGGCTCCCCCTGCCAATGGGGAACTGGGGACTCGGCCAGCCCCGTGGCATCCCCTCACATGATGATGCGAGGCTCTGGCACCGACTCGCCGATAGACTTGTGGGGCAGCACGCTGGCACCGTTGAGGTAGAGCTCGTCATTAACGATGACATCTTCACCCAGGACCGTCACGTTCTCCATGCGCACCTCGGGGGAGGGGGCAGGCCTGGTCAGCGAGGCAGGCGCATTTCCTGCCCCTCTCCCTGTTCGGCCCAGCCCCTAGACTTACCCACTGGCCCACGCGGCAGCGCCAGCCCACAATGCAGGACTCGAGCCAGGAGTGGGATCGAATGTGAGCATCTCGAAGCACTGTGCACCGCCGGATGCACACGCCATCCTCCACCACCACACCAGGACCCAGGCTCACGTTGGGGCCGATGCTACAGTTCTGGCCGATGCGGGCACTTGGGTCCTAAGGACAGTGGGGAAGATACGAGTGAGGCATTCATCTCCCAAGCCCGAGAAGGGGCATTTATGATGGGCCGGGTGGGGGCCTCACCACCAGCACGTTGCCCACAATGCCAGGGCCTGAGCATAGTTGCTCAGGCTGCTTCTGTCGCAGGGACTGTAGGAAGAGGCACATGCCGGTGAGGAAATCCTTGGGCTGCCCTATGTCCATCCAGAAGCCTGTTGGGAGGAAATGCATCAGGGGGCTCAGCCCAGCCACACCACACCCCTACCCTGTGGCCTCCCTGCCTCACCCTGCAGCTCCATGGCATATAGCTGCCCCTCCTTGGCCATGACAGGGAAGATCTCCTTCTCAATGGATGTAGGCTGCAGCTGTGGGAGTGGGCAGCTTGTGAGCAGGGTCGTGGTGGTAGGGGCCTGCCCTACCCCAGCCCACCCCGCAGCTGGCTTCTACACACCTGGATGCGCTGCAGCACTGCAGGGTTCAGGATGTACATTCCTGCGTTGATCTTGTTGGACACAAACACCTGTGGCTTCTCCACGAACCGGTGAATGCGGCCTGTGTCAGCCTCACATACCACCACACCATACTTAGAGGGTTCCTCCACTTTGGTCACCTGAGTGGAGGGGGAACCTCAGGCCCAGTCCAGGTGTGTTTGAGCCTTGATAATGCATACTGTCCTAAATCTAAGGCTGTGCCCCAATGCTTAAAAAAGACACATACTGTACAGCTTTGCACCCACAACACAAGGGGATAGTTAAAGGCTGGGCAGCAGGAGAGGCTGGGCACGGGGGGCAAGCGTGTCAGAGAAGAAACACCTGGTCCCTTACCAGGATGGAGCCCTCCTGGCCGTGGTGCCGGTGGAACTGCACCATGGCTTGGAAAGGGAAATCGCAGATCACATCACTGTTGAGGACGAAAAAAGGGTCCGCAGTCTCAGAGAGCAGGTCACGGGCAAGTGCCAGGGGCCCAGCTAGGAGAGAAGTACAGGTCACCATCTTGCCCGGGGGTCGGGGGGTGGACGGACAACTGAGCCCCTGGATCCAGGCTCAGCAGACCCCATCCAGGCTGGGTTTTACCCCTTCCCAGGCCCTAAACCCTCCCCACAAGGGACTTTTACTGACCTGTCCCCAGAGGCTCTTCTTCATGGGACATAGAGATTCGAATTCCCAGCTGTAAGGGAGAAGCCGCCTGTCAGGTGCCTCCCACCAGGGTGGGTGGTTGCGCGGGGATCGAAGAAAAAGGTCAAAAGCCCGAGCCTCACCCTCTGTTCCTGCGCCTTCATTTCCTTCTCCAGCACCTGAGACATGTAGCTCACGGCCAGAATCACGTGGTCCACGCCTGCCTGTTGTACAAAACAGCGCCGGCCGATAGACGGGCTCAGCCGGAAGGTACGGGCGTCCGCGACCCCCAAGTGCTAGCCGTCCCTCTTCCTGCCAGGTCCCACCGCTACACCGACCCCGGGTCTTACCGCGGCCAGCGCCTCCACTTGGTGCAGCAAGATGGGCTTATTGCAGAAATCCACCAATGGCTTCGGGATGCTCAGCGTCAGCGGACGCAGACGCGTCCCATAGCCGCCCACCAAGATCAGTGCCTTCATCGCGCCTGCGGGCGGCCAGAGAGTGAGTCCCGGGCTCCGCGGCCCGGCCCGCCCGGCCGAGCCCTGCCGCGCACTCCCGCCGCCGTGTCCGGCCCCGCGCCCTTCGCCTGCCAGACTGACCCACTTTGGCTCTGCCTTGGCCGCGGAGTCCGCCGTGACGCCGGCCCGGGGCTGCACACAGCAGGACGCGACGCTAGACGAGGGCGGCTAACCCCGAACTCAGGCCGGACCTAGGCGGGCGGTGACGTGAGCCCGAGCCGGCCAATCGGCTGCCGTTGACGTGGCACGGAAGCCGGCGTCGGAGCGCTGAGGCGCGGCTCTCCGGCAGACGTAGCCAATAAGAGCCCGAGCGCGCCCGGCTGCCATGGGGACCGGGCCCCGGGCCCGCGGGTCAGCTAACCATTGGCGGATCCAAAGGCGGAACTGGCGCCAAGGGCGAGGCTTCCTTCCCGACGGGTGCCGGGTCCGCCGCCGCACGGCCGCTTCCGGCCCCGCCCCGGGACGGCGGCTCGCGGGGCACGGCGGAGGGACGGGAGCGGCGGTCGGGCTGGGTCTGTCCTGGAAGCCGCGGGACAGCAAAGACGCGGACACACCTTAGTTTCTAGCGGCTTTATTTTGACATACACGACCTCAGACACAAGCGGGGCGGGCAGCGCTAGGTGTACAGAAAGGGGCGACCCGGCCCAAGGCCCGAGCACCCCTCCCCGGCACGCAAGGTCCCGAGGAGACGCCGCTGGCCCAGCCGCGGCCGAAGCCGAGAGTGGAAGGGGGCGCAGGCCTCGGGCGGCGTGGGCAGGTTTAGGCGGCTTCCGGCAAAGTAGAGCAGAGAGCGATTCCTAGAGGCGAGGCCTCACAGTTCCCCCGAGAAGCAAAGGAACCAGGTCCTTCCCAGGATGCTCTAATTTTTTTCATTAAAACTTTTTTTTTAAATCGGCAAAAACAAAACCAAATTGAACAGCTTTAAAGTTCCAAGCAATCTGCATATAGGGGGCGTGCACGTGGCCAGATGTGCGCGAGTGAGCAGCGGCTAAACAACTAGCCCAGGCCTTTGGCCCCTGGGGAAACCCCCACACCCACTGCACAGGCCCCAATGTGAGGGAGGGGTGGGGTCCCTGGCAAGTTGCTACACTGGTCCCCTTCCTCATTAAGCACCGCCGGTCCCACTCCCCCCCACCCCTCCCGGGGGCTGGTGTCTACTTGGCCCAGGGAAGCACTAGGGAGGGGGGTCACTTGAGCACCCCAACCAGTGATCCCGCGTTGCACTTTGGTCCCAAGTTGGGCTTTGGGAAGGCAGGGCCTGGCAGGGACAGGGCTCTCTGACAAGGAGCAGGCAGGAGGAGTAGAGACAGAGAGTGCGTGTGCACACACATGCCCACCACCCACCAGCTAACAGAGCTGGGTCTCCCAAGTGTCAAAAGTGCTGAAAAGAGGGATCCTGCCCTGATGGAGCAGCAGCAAATCCCAGGCCCTTCTGCTCTTTTTAGTGCCAGGAAAACGCTGAAGATAGTGGGTATAGTCTCTCTCACTATAAAGAGCAGAACGGGGCAGCATGTGCTCCCAAAATACAGGAACTCAGGAGGCACAACACATCCCCAGGCTGGAGAGGTTCAACTAAAAGGGGGTTCCAAGTGGCCCCTGACTCTTTGTCTTAGCCTCTTCCCTGCCAGGAAATGCCAGTCCAAACGAGTGAGTTACTACCCCTCTGAAGCCACAGAATGGTACAGGAAAGATGGTCGTTACTGACCAGCAACAGGCAAGCTGTCCCTCCCAGCCCCAAGGAATGGGAACCTGCCCACTACTGGCACCAGGATCGGAGGGCTGAGAGAGAGACGGGATCCATCAAGGAGCCCATTTAAAATGTGTGAAGCTGCATCTCTAAGGAATCGGAAAGTAGTCCACCACTTCCAAGGCCTCTTAGGCTGGCAGGCTTACCTTTAATGCCCAAACAAGGACACACCCAAAGCGACAATGACAGTGGCCCTAGGCTCAGAGGGGAGGGCACTAACCTTGGCAATGGCTACGTGAGTGCAGTGTCACCTCCTGGCCACATGTTCGAGGTGGCAGGTCTCTGTGCCATTAAGGGCTGGCGGCAAAAATGATTAAAAACCACCAGAAAGATCACCCCTTGCACCCTCACTGTACCACCGTCAGCGTGGAGCAGGGCTACACGCTGCCAGGCCCATAGAGAAGGTGCTGGGCCATCTGGGAAACACCTCCTACAATTCATTTGCTACCAATTCTTTGTAAAAAGGTAGCATCTGCTGACAACAGGCACAGGGGCAAAAGCTCACCTCAGAAATAGCATGACAGAAATCAATTATTACTAATGAACAAGGCTACAGCCCAGGAAAAAGATCCGAAGAGACAAGGGCTGGCTGGGAGATGGACAAATGGACAGACTGATGGATCCCAGGACTGATAAGACGAAACTCATTAGCAGAATCTGGGCATCTACACCCAAGGCCCAAACAATGTCTCTATGAACAGACAAGCTTCAAGCTCTCCCTCACAAGACTGGAGAGCTCCTCACAATGGGTTGCTGCCTTGAGCTTAGCCTGGAGAAAGGTGACACCCTGAGCAGACCACAGCCCTTGAGCCCTGGGAAGGGCAGCCCATCCAGAGACAGCCCAGCTGCCCAAGCTAGAGGAGGAAGACTCCCACCCACAGCACAAGAACTGCAAATACCGTCTAGGCCAGAGCCACCAGAGGCCCTGAGGCCTGCTGGGACACCGACTCTCCTTGGCAAATAGAGCAGGGACCCCCTTCAATGGGGGAAGAAGGGGTGGCCTCCTCAGGCAAGGGATCTCGGTAAGAAAGGCTGGCTGGGGTGTGCAGGCAGGAAGAGGAGCGGGTTCAAGTGCCAAAGAGTGCCTGGGGATCCCAGGGCCTGCCCTCTGCCATAAGCTGGCTTCAGCCCAGCTTCATGAATCTAGCCTCATGCCAAGTCAGAACCGAGAAGGACGGGTCCAGCCATGTGCAATTGGCCCTGTGCTACCTGGGGGGTATGTGTTAAGGAGCTGGTTGATGCCCATGCCACCAGACTAGGAAGTCCCCCAACAGATGGGCACCCAATCCTCTACTGGTGAGGAACGAGGGATGAGTGAGCACAGAGGGGCCCTGTACCAGCCCACAGCTTCACCCTAAGACCAGCAAGGCCCTGCAGCCACAGATGCCAAAGACCTAGGCAAGAGAAACCAATGTCCAAGGGCACCCCGTCCCTGCTGCCAAGCCCACCCACCAGGGGCACCTCTTCCTAAGTCAGCCTGGACACAGCAGTCAGAGCCGTAGAGCTAAAGGAGCCTGGCTGAGAGGATGTGTGTTGTGCCCTCCTTCACTTTATATATATGGATTCCAGGCTACAGCTAAAAACATTTCTTTTAGTTTACACCAAAGAGAAATATAACCCTTTAAAAGCAAGTCTGTGTGTCCTCACGGCGAGTTCAGTCAGAGCAATGGTCCCTGCCTGCGGGTGGAGAGGAAGGGGTTCTGGGGGCCCAGGGCCGGGCCTACTGGTTCTCGTCCCGCATCTGTTCCATGATGCTGATGAGGTTCTCTAGGCCGAACACATAGCCTCGGTCCGGCCCGTCATGCACGGTGGGGTCATCCCGGAAGCCCTTGAACGTGCTGTGTGCAAAGTCGATCATGCGGACATCCACCTTGGGTGGAGAGGAGGGGCTGGCCTCAGGGCTGGTGCTACTGGGGCTGGTGCTGGGGCCACAGGGTGGCGCCCCCTCAGGGAGCCCTGTATCCAGGTGCTTGAGACGCATCTCGGCCCGGCGGTCTAGGAAGGACTCTGCCCGGCACTCCCTGCCGTCGTAGATGACAAGCAGGGAGCTGGAGTAGAAGCGGTAGGAGGCCTGCCGCTCCAGCACAGCTTTCAGGCCCCGCAGTTTGCTCAGGATGGGCTCAAAAAGGTCACGCCTCAGGTCCAGGCCGTTGTGCAGGTACTGATAGAGGGCGTTGCGGAAGCCTTCAATGGAGAGCCCGCGGCCATAGTACTTGTTCCTGCAGAGGTAATGCCCTGTGTCCAGCTGGTACACCTGAAAGCCCAGGAGACAGAGCGGGTGAGGACCAGGGAGGTCTGATGACCTTCGAGTGCCCTGGGCAGGCATTGTCTGGAAAGTACTCCTGACCAGCTTGACTCGTCCCAGTGTCAAGGCAACAGGCTCTCACAGAGGCTCTGGATCTGGAGTCCAGACTAAGGTCACCAGGTAAGGCCTAGAGGGCTCAGGGAACATACCTATAAGGATGCACTCGGCACCCTGTGGGGGACTCACCCTCTCGGAGGAGATTCTGGACCACTGTGGGCCCAGAGGACACCTGGCAGGGGGAGCAGGCAGGTACATGGGCCACCCAAAACACGCGGGCAGCAGCAGCAAGGCTCTGGCCAGGGGAACTCACCTGCATGCCACAGACCCTGACACCCAGCGTAGCTGACGTACTCTGCTCGCACTTCCTCATCTGCCGGGCCGCCTTCTCCGCGGATGCGTCATCCCCGTGCTGCCGGGTGCCCATCTTCAGGTCCAGCACACAGGGGTACTTGAAGTGGTGCACCACGTTCTCAAGCAAGAGGAACTCTGGGCCGTGGTCAAGGAGAGTAACAGCCACACTCACTGTCAGCCCCAGCCAGGAAACCATGACCAAGTTTTTCTACAAAAGGGGGCATTCTCTTCTAATGTGATCTGTATTCACCTCACAAACTCTCAAATGTAGATGTCACACCACTGGCTTACTCATTCTTTTCAAAAATTTTTTATTGTAGCAAAATATACATAACATAAAATGTACCATTTTCACTATGTTTAACTATACAGTTCAGTGGCATTAGTACATTCATATTACTGTGCACATCACCATCCATCTCCAGAACTTTCTCATCGTCCCAAACAAAAACTAGAAACTGTACCCACCTCACACTCTCTCCCATTCTTCCTCACGCCCCTGCCCCCAGTAACTACCTTTCTAGTTTCTGTCTCTATGAATAGGACTATTCTAGACACTTCATACTTGTCCTTTTGTGGCTGCCTGTTTCATTTAGCAAAATGTTTTCAAGTTTTATCCAATTTGTATGTAGCATGTGACAAAATTTCATTCCTTTTTATAGCTGAAAAATTTTCTGTGGTGTATATATATACCAAATCTGCTGATGCCATCATTTTTATTTTATTCTATTTTATTCTGTCCTGTAGGCATACACAAACTAAAGAAGATCTGGCAGATTTGCATACATCCCTGGCACCATCAGTA